CTCCCCCAACCACCACCATCCCAACATACCCATGTAGCCAGTGGCTGTAATACAGCTGATTAAACCGCTCATAGCCCTCGCGCTCAAACTGGGTCAGCAGACGCTCCAACACCGTCATGGTGCCCGCGATCACCTGCGCCGAGGTCATGGGCTCAAGGTCGGGCTCGCCTGGGTGCGCCATGTTGTACTGTCGGATGATGTCATTGAGGCAGATGGTCGGGTTACTGTTGGAGACGTTGAAGCCACAGCCTGGGGGGGAGAGGGGGAGGAAATGTTTAATTCAGTTTAGAAAGCATTTAGTATTATAAGGTCATTGTATAATTGCCGAAGAATAGAGATGTCACAAGAGAGTAACATACACAAAAAAGGAGGAGAGCTTTAGCTTTAGTAAGAGTTTTACGGCACTTGCAACACAATAAGGTCATATAAGCGTCAGAAGATTAGAGGTGTTACAAGAGAGTAACAAAAATAAAAAAGAAGAAGGGGAGATAAGGACGATAGATGTTTCACAGGAAAGAAGAAGCAAACCACATCAGAGCATCCGCCAACCACCCACAGTAAGAGTTTTACGGCACTTACAACACAATAAGGTCATATATAAGAGCAGAAGAATCGTTGTGTTACAAGAGAGTAACAAACACAAAAAAGGAGGGGAGATAAAGACGATAGACGTTTGATAGGAAAGAAGAAGCAAACCACACCAGAGCATCGGCCGACAACCCGAGGAGATTTTTATTAATTTGTTTTGAGTAAAAACAAACGCATTGGCACGATAACGGTAATTTTTACAGCATATGACACAGAAAGTTGTACATGACATCACAGAAAAGACAAACTGGCAAGTTGCTTTTTTACTTTTGAATTACAAAGGTTTATCAGCTCAGTACATAGTTTTGAGATATTTGACGCTAAATGTTTTTGAGTTTCACAACATGCCAAGCTTTTTTTAAAAGCAATTCTTTGAATATCTTGATAACGACTCCGAATAATCTTGGGGGCTCTCGTGGCCTAGAGGTTAAGGTGTTGGCCTCTCATTCAAAGGTCCCGGGTTCGAATCCGGGTAGCGACCGAAAAATTTTCTTCTCTAAAATTGTCTCCTTTCACCTCCTTTACAGCTCTCTAGCAATGTTCTGTTGTCTGCTTTCAATTCCACTTTCTGCCCCCACCCCCTCACCTCCTTTGCCCCCTCCTCTGGGCTCCTGACTCTTTCTGCAGCCTTTCTACTGCTACTCCTTGGCTCCTCCTTACTGCTGTCTTTCTGCCACACCCCTGATCTTCTGGTAGGAAAGATCTACACCTAGCCTTCTCGGACAAGGGCGAAAAATCTCGGAGGGCCCGTGTGCAAGTTGCGCACGTTAAAGATCCCTTGGTGGTCTAAAATCGATAAGAGTAGGCTTCGGCCGCCACCCGGGCAAAATTCAAAATTTCCTACCAACTGAAAATATTAGGTGTGTCCCGCGCGCTCATATGACCTTATGCAGCTGCGAGCACCGTAAAACACTTTACAAAAACCAAAAAAAAGAATAAACTCATGATTTTGATAGAGTTGATAGAACATTTGTTTTCTCACTTCCCGTGTCAGCTAGAATGTCATATAAAATTGCAATATTATGTCATAAATGTGTCAATAACAAAGCTCCCTCATATCTTAGTGATCTCATCCAGATTTATGTTCCATCTAGATCACTAAGATCAGGCGACCAGTATCTTTTACGAGTTCCTAGAAAAGGCGGTAAAAAATTAGCCAAAAGATCGTTCGCCCACCTTGCTCCGTCAGTTTGGAACTCTCTTCCCCAACCCTTGAGACAAACAACATCTGAGTCTAAATTTAAAAAATCTTTAAAGACACATTTAATGACATCCTTTTTAAGTCAGTAGATTCATGTTCGGTACAATGTTATGTAAATGTCTATGTATCCATTTATGTATTTTGTGAATTGCAGTGTATATATTATTTTATTCTCATTTCGTGACAATGTGTAATCGTGTGCGTGTGATAAGCAAGTAGATGTGTGTGTGTGTGTGTCTGTGTGTGTGTGTGTGTGTACGTGTGTGTGTGTGTGTGTGTGTGTGTGTGTGTGTGTGTGTGTGTGTGTGTGTGAGTGTGTGTTTGTGTGTGTTTGGCATACATGTGTGCGTGTTATGTATTCGTGAGTGTGTATGCGTGTGTTTGTGTGTGTGTATATGTATATGTGTGTGTGTTTGTGTGTATATGAGTGTGTGTGTGTATGAGTGTGTGTGTGTGTCGCGTGCATGAATATTTTTCTTACATGCATTTATGTAAAGCGCCTAGAGCTGTGTTTACACGGGAGTGGGCGCTATAGAAATGATCTTCATCATTATTATTATTGTCTAAGTAGCTCAAAACGGCCAAAAATGTCAGATAGAACTCTGTAATTCTTATTTAGGTTACGAAGTGACCGAGACAGAAAACACAATTTGCGTACCGATGGTGGCTAAGTGACCGAGACAGAAAACACAATTTGCGTACTGATGGTGGCTAAGTGACCGAGACAGAAAACACAATTTGCGTACTGATGGTGGCTAAGTGACAGGGACAGAAAACACAATTTGCGTACCGATGGTGGCGTACACGACAGAGTTCATGGCGGTGGAGGTGACCAGGACCCCGCCCAGCTTCATCTCTCGCCCGTAGTAGATGTCGTTGGGCCACTTCAGCTTCAGCTCCAGGTGCTGGGGAGACATTGGCCAACTTTGACGTGCTGCTTGTTGGTGTAGTTGATGATGTTCTTCTTGTTCTTGTTGGTTTTGTTACGGTTGCTGTCGCTGTTGTAGTTGTTGTTGCTGTTGTAATTGTCGTTGTTATTGTTGTTGTTGTGGTTGTTGCTGTTGTTGTGGCTGTTATTGTTGTGGCGGTTGTTGCTGTTGTTGAAATTGTTGTTGTTGATGTTGTTGTTGTTGTTGTTGTTGCGGTTGTTGCTGTTGTTCTCACTGTTGTTGTTGCTGTTATGGTTGTTGTTGTTGTTGCTGTTGTTGCTGTTGTTGAAGTTGTGGCTGTTGCTGTTGTTGTTGCAGTTGACTGAATTAAAGTCCTCACAACACACAGAAAGACACCATGAGTCTGCTATTTTAGTTTTAGTAAAAGTTTTACAGCACTTGCAACACAATAAGGTCATATAAGTGCAGAAGACTAGAGGTGTTACAAGAGAGTAACAAACACAAAAAAGGAGAAATAAGGACGATAGATGTTTGACAGGCAAAAAGTAGGAAACCACACCAGAGCATCCTCAAAGGGCAATAGATGTTTGATAGGAAAGAAGAAGCAAACCACACCGCCAGAGCATCCGCCAACCACCCACCACCCCGAGTTTCGACCGTCGGCTCACCTGATACCCGGGCGTCTCCAACACGCTACGGATCACGGCCACAGCCACCAGGTGTTGCAGGAAGGACACACGCTGACCCAGTTCTGACAGGAGGTCAAGCCTGACCGGCAGCGTGAACATGGCACAGCCGGTGGGGCTCAGCCACGCGTTGCCGCCCCGACCTGGAGAGGGAAGGTTTGATAAGATAAGGTAAGACAATATCAGATCAGATCAGATTAAGTCAGATAAGATAAGGTAAGATAATACTTTATTGTCCCAGAAGGGAAATTTTTCTTGGCTGTACAGGACCGTAAAAAACATGCAGGTATACATAGAAATTAAATCACATATAACTCTCAATAGCAAGTAGGACCAACCAGTGGCACCCTCCACCAATCTGCCAAAGTCTAGCAACATTTGCAAAAAAAACAAAACAACTCTGATCTGAAAAGGTGAAAGGTAAACTCATGTCACTTATCAACTCTTCACTCTTCCCGGACTGAGTTTAGTTTTTTACGTCTAGTTTAGTTTTAGTAATAGTTTTACGGCACTTGCAACACAATAAGGTCATATAAGTGCCGAAGATAAGAGGCGTTACAAGGGAGTAACAAACACAAACAAGAAGGAGAAGAGATAAGGAAGACAGATGTTTGACAGGAAAGAAGGACAAACCACAACAGAGCACCCTCCAACCACCCACAGTAAGAGTTTAACATAACTTGTTGCAACACATATAGACCATGTAGATACAGTATAACATGGATAGCTCGAATTCGTCGGGACCGACCTCAGTAAATCGAGGGATCCGTACTTCGAGGGATATCTTACAAAGATAAAGAAGAGAAAAAAAAACCAGGACTGCAGGCACAGTTCGACCGATGCGTGATTTCAAGTCTTCTGTGTTCAACCTATCCGTGTTATAGTGCTGAAGATTAGAGCTGTTATTAAAAGGTGACGTACCAGAGCACCCGCCAACCACTCAAAGAGAGAGAGGAGAATGGAAGGAGGATGGGGGGCGAGACAAACAAATAGGACCAAACAGTGGCACCCTCCAACCATCCACCAAACTCGGCTAATATTAGCAAAAAAACAACCCAAAACAGCTCTGAACTGAAAAGGTGAAAGGTAAACTCATGTCATTTATCAATCCCTCCTCCCCCTGGACTGAAAAGGTCAAAGGAAAAATCACATGTGAGTTATCACCCCCCCCCCCTCCCCCCTCCCTCCAGACATCATATTATGCGTTCCGTCCCTTACCTCGCCCACTGGTCTGCCGACCAGCAATCGCGATGACGCCCACGTCCTTCGGGATGGAAAACAGCAAACTGTGGAGAGGGGGACGTGAGCGAGTGGTTGAGACATTTTCATCAAGTTTCACAGACACATGAATGATATCTGATGATATGGCACGCGGTAAGTCCTGGTTAGATCACCTTTCCTTTCTCATTGATGTTTTCATCTGTCTTACTGTTCACGTGCACTAAATGACAGTTATTTTGATTTTTTTTGTGTGTGTTTCAATAAAGAGCAGCACAGTAACGGTCATTAATCTCCCCCATCCCACCCCACTAAAGTCCTTGACTGTGTCTGTAAGTTTATGAAGACATTACAAAAATCTCTACGCTGCTTTTGTTTGAAGTTTTTGAAGATAACATTTAGAATATTTTTCACAGACAATAGGCAAGGCCCTGACCTCCTCGTGCTACCGTGCTCCAGAGGGATATGTAAAACTAACAATATATGATCGTCAGAATCACATCCCAAATCCTTCTCATGGTAGTCCTCAAATAAACATGTGTATTTTCACGTCATTTTTGACAAGTTGCGTACGACCAGTGGAAACAGAATTCAAAAAAAAAAATCAGGATGTTATGCAAATCCAATTAGGTTTCTGCGACTGGCGAAAAAATTCAGAGAGCTCAGAATTGATCAGAGTATTGGGCTGGTCTGACGCAGACACGTCAACGTCAATGAGAGCGCCACCTACCCGTCAAACACGGTCATGGTAGAGGTGATGACGTCTGTGTAGAACACGATCTGACCCATCCAGGACGTGCCCAGGTGCCGCCAGTACGTCTGCATGTCGAAGAAAGCCGTGTCCACTTTGGAGTCGGCGTCTGTCACCACCGGCAACAGGCTCGTACTGGCCAGCGTTTTGTCCTGGCCGTTCACAAACTTGAGCGACAGTGACCTTGATTTGAGCACGCCCTCTGTGGTCAGCCGGTTCTGGTACAGGCCCTGGAAAAGTTCTCGGAGACCCTGAGGAGGAGAGGCATACACGTGGAGAACATGACACTTTACATGAAAGCAAAAACAATTCAATACTGCCTTCAAATACATTTTAAAAAGACATATGATATACCTTTGTGACGCGCGTAATAGAAATCTTAAATCTTATACGTGTAAGTAATTATTTAATTATTCAGGGTCATGGGTGCCAAACAGCCACATAGACTTTAAAAATCAAATCATATTTTTCGTAAGGTGAATACTATAAATAGCACTATTGGACATATGCGTTTGTAAGGTCTCAAAGGAGTTAAAAATCCAACAATTGAGATGACGCAACTTTATTTCTCAAGTAAAAAAATGACTGACTTTGGTAAAGGCTGCTCTTTTAAAGTTTTCTCCAAACAGCACAAAATGACTGAGCCAGCTGTGTTATGACAAGGAACACATGCTATTTCTTACCAGGCGTTGCGCTAGCATGTAACAGGAAGTGAGGCTGGGCACAGGTCCGGCGCCCGTGTCGATGTCAAGGGCAGACAACAGGCGTGTCAAGATGGCGAGACGCTCCGTGTTGGAGCGCTTCAGGGCGGCGAAGGATTCTGGGTCAGAGGCGTACTCTGTGGGGTCTCTCTCCACCAACAACTGCAACCACAGTCACATCACATGGGGAAAAATTAAAGGTTTTTTACATTTTTTATTTTAAACTCAGGTGATAAAAAGGCCTGGAACATCTATCTCTCACTGGTAAAGCTGAAGGCAAAACGAAGCGCCAGTAGACCCACAGTAGCTTACTTGGAAAGCCTAAACATATGAGTAACAGGGAAAGATCAGGATAATACACCTTTTTTTTTAGAGCATCTGAGCAAAGAAATGAATGGAAAACTGTAAATCATCAATGTCTGTCGCAGATCTGACACTCAATGATGAGGGGTGTTTACAACCCCTATAGACACAAATTAGATCATTTAAGACACAGGCTTCAACCCCACCTATCTGTCAGGGCCAACCCAGGCTGAGAGGGATACAACATCCCAGAGGTAAGACCGAGATACTCGATAACAAAAATTTTCCCCGAACTGAGGTAGAAGATAGACTCTCCCATACAGGGAATCAAGATGGTGGGCACTGGCCAAGTGACCGCCATCCAAACCTTTCCCAAACACACTTTACTGCATTCAATAAATTCAAGCTATTCAAAGTAGACCTGCAGCAACAGACCTCTGCAGTCGACCAATAGGCTTCGTTTTTATTACTATTTGCACATCCCGTCTTAAAAGTTCATAATATTTCTTTCACAAGTCCCTGAGAAGAAATAATAGAAACAGAGGGTACTTATTTTTTTATATGAAAATGGACTTCAGTACTCAGACCCCTCAAACATGTATAATTAATAGTTTTTACGTACTGGATGGCAGCGATGCATTACGAACAAAAGAGAAAACACATAAGCAGACACTCATACATAAATGATGATATGAACAAGAGACAACTGACAAGAGGTGGGACTGACCTGAGACATAACGACGACGCCCCCGCTGTCGCTGCGTGTCTTGACCACAACCGCCTGTGCGCACTTGCCGCTGCGGTCATCGTCTTCTTTCTTGTCATCGTCTTTCTGCAGCAGACCCGTCAGTGAGATGACCGGCCCCGACACGACCTCCGACCCTGCTGAAGAACCCTCCTCCGACGTCACCCCACCCCCTTCATAGGGCACCAACACTTCCGAGCCGCTGGCGAGATTACTGTAACAGTAGCAGCCGCGGACTGAAGTGACCGTCTGCGAAGTGTCGTCGAGTCTGAGAGTGACCAGCCCCTCACCGGCCACTTTCTCCAATTCCTCACGGTGAGCGAACAGCGAGTCGAGAGAGCTGCTGAAGCTGAGGACGTTCCCCCCGGCTGAGCGAATGTAGTCGGCCACCACCTCCTCAACCTCGCTGCTCAGCTGAGGACAAAAGGAAACGACCAACAAAGCGGCGTTGTCGCGCCACGGGTCGGCGAGGAGAGACTCATGGGTCAGGTGGTAGATGGTGTAAGCCTCCGTGTTCACACACGCCTCCAGACTCAACTTGACCTGCTGGAACCTCCGGGCCGTGTCCTTGACCCCACAGTACACCAGAATGTTGGGCGGTTTGGACGACGCACGAGGCTGGTCGCTCCCGCCCCTGGAGGCTTTGTCGTCATGGTTACCGCTAGCTCCAGACCTTGATGACGACGGAGCTGGTTGGGCTTCTGAGGCAGAAAGGGAAAACTTCTGCTTTATCATTTCACTGATCTTTCCAATTTCTAATTGTTTGCTGGATCCATTTGATGCAGTCTCTTTCTCCGAGGCAATGGAAGATGCCCCGTTTATCAACTTGTCCTCTGGCGTAGAAGTCGAAACAGGATGGAGCTGTGTAGTTGTCTCCCTGTCGGAGGGCTGCAGCGGCCTCGCTCTCGTGGAGGGTACTTCATCACCTGACGAGACACACAGAGTAACAGATCATCGATCATCGCAGCCAATCACAACAGGAGTAATTGTGAGTCATCATGGTGAAATCTGGCAGGCGCTCATCAGTTCCAGCCGGTCGGCCAATTTTATTAGGGGGGGTGGCTCAACACCTTTTATATCCTTTTAAAATCACATTTCTATGTGGATCTTACAAAAAATGTTGATCAAAGGAAAAAAAATATATTATTTTGCAACAGAACCCACTACCTATGACACTTAATGGTCCCCCCCTCCAAAAAAAAAAAAACCCCATAAAAAACCTCATGCCTCTCACCTTGACCTTGACCTGCGACCCCTCCAGTAACATCTCCCTTCGGCGACTTTGAGGCAACACCTTGACCTTCGTCGTGACCTGTGACATCAGCAAGGGGCAGACAGGACCCCATGGGTGACACCAGGTTCTGGGCACATCCGACTGTCTTGACCGCTGTCGGACGGACACACAAAACGATGTGTAAGATCACACTTGCATCTCAATCAGCAAAGCATAGGTTGCTTTCATATCTTTGAATAGGATATGGAAGACCAGAGATATTTCACTTCGAACAAAGCTGAGGATCTTCAATTCAAATAAGGTCAATCGTGTTGTATGGATGTGAGACATGGAACGCATCACAGACTTGCATAAAGAGGATCCACGTTTTCTTGAACAAGTGTCTAAGAAAGTTACTGGGGATCAGAATATGGACAGACAGGGTTACCAACGAGGAAGTGTTTAGGAAAACAAGACAGATCCCAGTCAGAGAGGAGGTAGGAAGGTGGTGGCGATGGATTGGACATACTCTCAGGAAGTCAGGCAGCTGCATAATAAAGAAAGAGTTGGATTGGAATTCACAGGGAAAAAGATCAAGGGGAAGACCATGTGGAACCTGGAGAAGAATCGCAAAAATCAATGAAAAGAATCGAGGGAAGACATGGAATAACATCAAGAGGAAAGAAGGAGGAGAGATAAAGACCATAGATGTTAGATAGGAAAGAAGGAGGAGAGATAAAGACCATAGATGTTAGATAGGAAAGAAGGAGGAGAGATAAAGACCATAGATGTTAGATAGGAAAG